ATTCCCTGCTTTCTTAGTGAAAACAGGAAACCGGGATCCTTTGAAAATGTGTGTTCTTCATTCCAGTGTTGCCAGAAGTAAAAATAAAGCCAGCACTTTAACCATCTCCACAGAGAGGCTCTGTCTGCTGGACCAGTCACTTCTTCATGAAAGAGTTTGTGTTCCTCTATGGAAACTAAGCAGCCTCAGCCTTCAGTCACCTGAGGAAGTGAGAGGCACAATCGGCCCCACTGTTCTCTGCAGGTTCTAAAAGCCCTGGCAGTCCCCAGTGGTTCCAGAGCACTGCAGGAACTCTTCTCAGGACTTGGCTCATAATTAGTGACAGGTAGTTATGCTTCAACAGTGATCTCAACTGAGCCTTTGCCATTCATGAAAGTTTCTTTAAAAAAATTTTTAAACACCTTTTTCTAGTTACAAAAGTAGTACGAGTTGTAAAAGTTATGTACAGTCTATAAAAGAAAAAAAGTCACTCATCTCACCACCTGGTGGCAACTGGTAATATTTCGTTGTGACTCCTAGGTTTTTCTATTTAACATATTTACTTTTCCCACTTAAGCATTTTCAATAGGGAAGGTTCATTTTTATCTATTTTCCTTCAAACAATTTTTAAAAATTCACTGATTTAACATCAGTATTTGCAACAAAATACATCACATTTTTCAGTGAAACTTAACTGTCACATATTAAGCAATTCTTAAAGTTTACCAAAGACAAGGTCACAATGAATTATTCCCAGATGGACTCTGTGGACTTCTAAGTCTGGGATCAGTAAAGGTTAGAATTTTACCATGTTAGGTTTGATGATTTCCTAATATTGCTTGGATCAGACTATCCTAAGGATCTGTAATCCAAATTTCACACTCCAGCAACTAAAAAAGCAAGCTGTGTTCCCAAGTTGTCATTTTTACAAACGACTGTCCACAGTATGAATTGTTCTACAATTAGATATCCAGCATCATTATTTTTTATCTCTTCCTTACTAGTGTACCTTTATATACTTTAACATAAATATGGCACTTATAGGGCCCTGACTAATTTCCCAACTTTTCTACATATGTAGTCTTATCTCTCTATACTAGAAGGTATCTTGAGAGCGACAAATTTAATTTTCAAAATATTCTTCACTGTTCCTCCTTTCCAATCACACACTATAAACAAGATGCTGGGAACAAAGTAGGTGTTTAAAAATGTTTACTGAGGGAATAACTGAATATATAGTGTAACATAATGAACTTTGAAAAACATCTTAATATTCTTGTAGATCAGCGGTCCCCAACATTTTTGGTACCAGAGACCGGTGCTCCTATGAGAATCTAATGCCTGATGATCTGAGGTGGAGTGGAGGCAGTGATGCTAGTGCTGGGGATGAAGCTTCACTGGCTTCATTTCTTGCTCACCTCCTGCTGTGTGTGCAACCCAGTTCCTAAGAGGCCACACAGCCTGGGGGTTGGGGACCCCTGCTAAAGACAGAGTTGCTTGTTCTATATTAGTGTTAAAGAATAGTCTTACATGAAGTGGTTTCAGTGGTTATCTTTAGGTTGTGGAATCATGGGTGGTTTTTACGTTCTATTTATATTTTATGAATTTTTATAACACATAGGTATTTGTCTTTTAAAAAATATGATTACAAGAAGTCACTGTTTGGAAAGCAATAGGAATGTACTGAAATCAACTCCAAGAAAGTTCATTTGGAAAGGGGGTGAACAGAACAGCCATGGCAAACACAGCTGGATGTTCCTCAGTCTGTGTTATTCCATTCTTCCACACTAGTAGAATTCCCTGTGTTTAGCTGGGAAAATATAAAGACTTTATTTCCCTAGTCATCTGTATTGTTAGTATGGCCATAGGAAAAAAAAAAATCTCCCTTAAAAGACACAGGAATAGGTCTATGACCGCCTTCCTTCCTTGTTCTTTCATCTTGCTGTCTGGAATGCAGATGTGATGACTGGAACACTAGCTGCTATCTTGGACCATAAGTTCACACACAAGGATCGAGGAATAATGTGCTAAAAGGAACCTGGGTCTCTTAAGAGCTTTGTGGATCAAAGCCATCATGCTACTCCTAGAAAGCCTGCCTCTACATTTTTATGTGAAAGAGAGAGAAACTTCTATTTTGTTTAGCTATTGTATGTTTTGGGTCTCTATTACTTGGAGCTAAACTAAATTCTAATGGATACAGTAGTCTCTCCCCTATGTCTCTACTCCCAGATAAAAAAAATTAAGACCAGATCTTAAAAAGAAAAAAAAAAAAAGCTAAATAATAAACTGAAGAGATGTTACAATAAAACTTTTTAATTATATTTTGATTAATTCAAGAATAATTAAAGAAGTGCAAAAAACAACAGTTTTTTAAAAAAAAATCTCTTAAGTGGGTTATAAGGAGACTCTTAACTGCCTAAAAGCCTTTTTTGGACTAACAGAGCTATGCCTGTTTATACACAGCCAAAAACCACTGGTGATATCTGGAACTGGAATTCTGAAAGTAACAGCTTCCAACTAAACATTCTAAATCAGAGGGCTGTCTCTGGTGTTTACAAAGATTTTCTGAATGTCTGGAAATCCAGTGCTAGAGACTGCTTCTGGCACCACCTCTACCATCATTATATAGCATTTACTGAAAGCTTAATTAGGTACAGAAAGTGGTCCTATTCAGTAGAAAGAGTAGGAGGAAGAATTTATAAGAAATAAAATGAGTCTAGCTGGGAGACAAATGCCAAACACTCTAAACATAACACTAATTGAGATTAGTTACAAAAGCATATATTATCAACAAGAACAATATCATAGTACATGAATGAATGATCGAAACAGAATGGAGTTAACCAGGAGATGAGTTCTTAAGACAAGATAAGTGATGACAGAATAAAAGAGAAAGAAAGGTAAATGGTAGAAAAAAGCCAGGGCAGAGCCTGTTGGTGCAGCTCAAAGAAAGATGAGGTTAGAGGAGAGAGGGATGACTG